GTGTGACCGGGTATGGGGGGCAGAGAACCCACCCCCAAAAAAACAGGAAAACAATGGGGTGTCACTGGGTATGGGGGGAAGAGACCCCAACCCAAAAACGGGAAAACACTGAGGTGTCACCAGGTATGGGGGCCAGAGACCCAAACCCCAAAAATGGGAAAAGGGGGACACCTGGGGGGGCACAACAGCGGGGTGTGAGTGGGTGTGGGGGGCAGAGAGATCCCAACCCCAAAAAAATGGGAAAACACCAGGGTGTGACCGGGTATGAGAGGCAGAGACCCAACCCAAAAATGGGAAAACACTGAGGTGTCACCGGCTATGGGGGACAGAGAGACCACATCCCAAAAGCGGGAAAAGGGGGGAAGACCTTGGGGGGCACAACACCGGGGTGTCATTGGGTATGGGGGAGCAGTGATCCCACCCCAAAAAAACGGGAAAAGGGGGAGTCAGACAAGGAAAGCCAAGTCAGAAGGGGGACGAGGAGGGGTTTTGGGGTGAGGGTGAGTTTTGAGGGGGCACAAACATGTGGGGGGGGGCACAGACACACATCAGGGTCACCCCAACCTCCAGAAAAGCGGGGGGCARGGGGGACCCCAAACTGACTCAGAGAGATCCCAGTGGGACACAAAGGACAGTCAGGGTGAGGGTGGAGGTTTTTTGGGGTTTTTTTTTGGGGTGTCCCCCTCCTTACCACGACCTTCCTGCCCTCCTGCTCCTGCTCCATGTCCTCCCCATCCTCCTCTTCCTCCTCCTCCTCCTCCTCATCCTCCTCCTCCTCCTCCAGGTACATCACATTGCGCACCTTCACCTTCACCTCGGGGGGCTCTGAGGCGTCATCGCTGTCACCTGGGGGGAAGAAAAGCTTGAGGGACCCCCCAAAAGAGCCCCCCTAGGTTCTGGGGGTTCCCAGCCCCCCATACCTTCGCTATCCCGGCCGTAGTCCCGAGGGAACATGATCCCACAGCCCATCACGTCRCCCTTGTAGCAGCGGGGCCCGAAGGGATCCCCGACCCCGCTGCCATGGAACAGCTTCCCATCGTCTGGGGGGACACCCCGAATTAGGGGGGACCCCCCAGTTCACGGAGAGAACCCCCAGATACCGTCCATGGGGGTGCACCCCGAAAGAAAGGGGGGAAATGGGCAGAGAAAGGGGAGGAGGGACAATGGGGGAGGGAGGGGCATGGGGGGCACCCCGAATTAGGGGGACCCTTCTCATGGGGGTACACCCCAAAAAAGGAGGGAAATTGGGCTGGGTAAAGAGAAGGGACAGTAAAAAGGGTGAAAGGGAAAGGGAGAGGCCATGAAAACTCCCCCGAGGGGATGGGACACCCTCAGATCTCTGGGGGGGCCTCCAGATCTCCACATGGGGGTACACCCCACAAAAAGGGAGGAAAATGGGCTGGGAAAGGAAAATGAGGAAGAGAATGAAGAGGAAATGAGGAAGAGGAAAAAGATGGAGGGAGGAGGAAAGGGGTGGTGGAGACTCCCCAAATGAGGGGGGACCCCCCAAGTCATAAAGCAAAGCCCCAGACCCTCCTTATGGGGGTGCAACTCAAAATAAGGGGGCCGGGAAAGGGGTCCCAGGGTGAGGAAGAGGAAGAGGAGGGGGTCCCACTGTTGGCATCCCGCGTTTGGGGGGGTCCCCCCCATTTTGGGGGTCCCCCCCCACTTTAGGCAGCTCACCCGCATGATAGGCCACCGAGCCCCTGCTCCAGCCGGGGTGACGATTTTTGGGGTAATCCTGGGGGGACGGGGGAGGGGGATTAGGGCAATGTGGGGTGCCCAGTCCCCCCAAACCCCCCTTTTCACACCCCCGACCTTCCAGCCCAGCCCCACCCCGTACCCCAAATCTGAGCCCCCTCCCCACTTTCCTGAGCCACTCCCA